TATATATTGAGGAAGCTAAATGGTCATAAAATGAACAACTTGTTTCAATGATTTTAGTTTGAAACTTTTTCAAAATTTAATTATTTCTAAAAATCCACGTTATATTGCTTTTAATATTTAATTATAATCTAAATTTTTAACTGAATTCATTTTTAAATCAATTTTTATTAGAAAATTCTACTGGAATTCAATTATTTAAATACAAATATAAATAATTTATTGAATAACTAAATGTTTCTTGAAATTAAATTCTCATAAAAAATGTTATCAACAAATTTTTTAAATCATTAAATTCTTTGGACAAATTTTAATAAAATTTTTAAGAATAATTACATTTTTCGAGGAATTTGATTAAAATTGCATTAAAAATAATTGAAATTATGCAATGAGTTTCCGAACTTTCAAAATTTTTGACACAAATTTTCCGTTTTTAGAAATTTTTTCTCTTAATTGACAAAGAATATAAATAATAACATTTAGTGCTCTCTATTTTCATGTAATTAAACTTTTGACCCATTATTTTTAATTTTTTTATAATAATCTCCATCATTTCATCTTTAATTTAAAAAAAAATTTATCTTGGAGACTTTAATTAATTTTGAGATATTGTAGTTTAAATACCAACATGTCGAGAAAAACTAGTAACGAAATTTGTATTTTTACCTTAATTTGAGTAGAAAGTCGTTCATAATCGTGAAAAGTCCTATTAACAAATGAATTACAATACAAAGATTTCCTAAGGTGGTCAAATTTATCCAGAATTTTTTAGAGAAGGTAAAATTTTTTGTGTAAATGTGAACATTTTTTGAGTGAAAGTGAAAGTTACGTGAACGTACCTCAGTAGTAAATATATAATTATTATTAGTTTTTTATTGGCAGTATCAGTAGTAAATACTCTTAATAGTCAGGCAGAAAGTTTCAAATGTAATATCCATAGTAAGTAGTGACGAATAATTTTAGTCAGACTTACTAAAGTTTTTAAAGTAAATTCTAGACCAGATATTTTTAATCCAACAAATTTTCGCTAGTAGTAAAAGTCAGTTTATAGTCAGACAGAATGGTATAATTTAATGTGAAGCACCTCGCACAAAATTAATTGAAAAAAACTTTCAAAGAAAAAAAAAGTTTTTTTCAATTTATTTTTATTCAAAATTTTGAAAAATATAAATGAGTCTTTAAAAAAAAAAAAATTATCTATAATTATTTATCAGAAAAATTTGAATAAAAAGGTCTGATTGAAAAGGAAAAATTTCAGAAAATTTTTACAATGCTAAATCCCTTTTTTTCCAACGCTAAGAATAAAGTTACCTCTTTTCCTCTAATAAATTATATAATACCGATAATTGCGAGTGTAGGTAGATTAAAAATTGTGCGAATTGGAGAAATCTTTTAATAGGTTTGAATAAAAATGTGTTGTTCATTGATGACACTGATATGGACATACGTTAGTCTGTGTGTGTGTGTGTATGTTGGGGAATTATTGTCAAAATCAATCTGATAGAGTTTCGCTAATAGCTATCAGAACGATGGTGCCTGGCCAGAATTAATACGATGAGATTCTGAATACTTCACGAAGTGAAATCTGATGAATTCTAGTTTCAGAGAAGTTCGTAAATAATGTACCGAATACATGTATATAGTGGTTCGGATTATCGTTATTGCATACGATATTGAAATACTTCCATTCGTTCCGTTTGCAATTTTATATAATGCTACTTGATTCACGTTATTCAAGCATATAATCCTTACTCACTAAATTTTATGAGAATTATTTTCAATAAAAATCATTATCAAATTATTCTTTATTTAATTCTTGCATTTTTATTTTCAATAAAAAAGGAGAATTTTTTGTTTTAATAATAATTCTTTTTGAGCGGATTATGCGGGAAATAAAAATGTCTGACTGTAATTGACTTTTACTACTGGTGATGGAAAAAAATTGATTAAAGACTTGGAAAAATTCTGATTTAATAAACATTTTAGTTTTGGGAATAATACTCTTTTATTACTAATTTGAAAAATTTAATTTTAAATATGGTCTGACTTAAAATGACCTTTACTATACTTGTTTCAAATTCAATGATTTTTGAAGTTTTACTGTTTACACTATTGATGGAAATGTAACCTGATTGTAAAAATTTGGACTGTAATATTGTTTTACTAATAACAAACAGTTTATATTTAATTGAACCATTTTGTCTGACTGCTATTACTATTACTACTGATTAAAAATATTAAAAAAAAAAATATTAAAAATATTAAAAATATTTAAAAATAAAAATTAAAAAATAAAATAAAATAAAAAAAAATTTTTAAAAATAAAAAAAATAAAATAAAATAAATAAATAAATAAATATTAAAAATATTTTGTCTAAAAGTAGAATTTACTTAAAGAAATTGAGTAAGTCTGACTAAAATTATCGTTTACTACTTACTATGGAAGTTTACTGCCTATTCAAAATTTCTGTCTGACTATTGGGCGTTTTTACTACAAGTGCATAAAATTTCTGATAGTAGTAATAATAATTTTAGTCAGATGTATTTTTTTTGCAAGTATTAAAAGTCACTTTTATTTAAATCTAAATTTTTTTGTAAATTATCCAGCAGTAGTAAAATCAGTTTCAGTCAGATGTATAGTTAGTTATCTTTTAACTTTTTAATCAGTAGTAACAGTCCTTTTTAGTCAGACGTCCATTTTTTTAAATTTTTCATCTGCAATAAAAAAATGTTTTATTCAAAAATACAATTTTATTTGTAAACTTTCCAGCAGTAGTAAACATCCCTTTAGTCAGACATGATTAAATATAATTATTATTAATAAATTATGATAATTTGAAATTTTTGAAAGTTTCCAATTTGAATGAATTTTATTAGAAATTTTAAAGAACATAGATTTTTAAAAAATTTTGACAATTCAAATTTTTCTGAAATTAGTTAAATTTTTTAATTACGTATTTAATTAATTATTAAAAATAATGAATTTATAGAAAAAATGTATTTAAAAACAATAAAAACTTGAATTTTGGAGACGTTAAAATAAATTGCAGAAATTCAATTATTTTTAATGTAATAAAATTCTTCATAGAAATTCAATTATGTTGAAAAATTATTGTTTAAAATTCTTCTAAAAGTTTAAATTATTTTCAAAAGTAATAAAATTCTTCTCCGAAATTCAATTATTTTCAAAACGTTGTAATAAATTTTTTGGCAAAATTTCAATTACCTATTTTCAAAAATTTTCCATAATTCAATGATTTTCAATATTTACTATTTTAATAAAATTTTCCAAAATAAATAAATTATTTATTTTTGTATTTAAGTAATTGAATTCTCGTACAATTTTTTAATAAAAGTTGATTTAAAAAAGAATTTCAGTAAAAATTTCAGATAATAATTGAATATTAAAAGTATTATAGCAAGAATTTTTAAAAATAATTAATAATTGAATTCTTTCGAAGAATTTTACTAAATTTTTTAAAAATAATTACATTTTATTATTTATGGAAATAATTTAATTTTTGCAACGAATGTAATGTAATTATTAAAGATTTTGTTAAAATTCGTCAAACAAATTTAATTATTTGAAAATTTGTTGATAAAATTCTATTCAAACATTTAATTATTTTAATAAATAATAAAAATTTCACCGGAATTCAATTACTTTACAAATTTTTTTATAAATTTCTTCTCAATAATTAAATTACTTTCATAAATAATAAAATTTTTTACAGGGATTCAATTATTTTCGTAAATAATAAAACTCTTTGCAGAATTTGAATTATTTTTAATATAATTTTAATAGAATATTATTAAAAAAATGTAATTATTACAAATTTTATTAAAATTCGGCAAAAGAATTCAATTATTTTAAAATTTGTTAATGAAATCCTTTATGAGAATTCAATTTTAAGAAACATTCAATTATTCAATCAATTATTTGGTTTTGTATTTAAATATCTAATTGAATTCTCGTAGAATTTTTTAATAAAAATTGATTTAAAAATAAATTTCAGTTAAAATTTTAGATAATAATTAAATATTAAAAGCATGCTAGCATGAATTTTTTAGAAATAATTGAATTTTAAAAAGTTTTTCAAATGAAAATATTTGAACATCTGAATTTTTTCATATTTTCACACTGAAAAAATTACATTCTAAATTTAAGAACATCTATTTAAATAGGCGCCAAGAATATTCCCTACTTAAATTAAAAGGAACTAATTTTTTCTAAAAAGTTTAATTGAATTTTTTTTTTGAAATTATTTCAAGTTTTTATTTTCTAATATAAATTGAAAAATTTCTGAATAATCGAAATTTTGTAAAATTTAATAAATTGTAAACAAATGGATTTGAATATTCTCAAAGAACTTTTTCAAAAATTATTAAAAATAATTTAATAATAATTAAAGAAGAATTTAAGTTAAAACTTTTAGAAAAAAATAATAATTGAAGTGAAATGATGAAAATAATTGTGAAGAAGTTACTGTAACATTATTCTTAGAATATAAAATAATAATTTTATCAATCGGCTATCTTTAATTATCATAAAACATAAAGAAATCAATCACTTCGAGTCGAAGACTCGGAGTGATCGTTTTTTTTATGTTTTATAATAATATTTTATTAGTTGTTGAATTTCAAACAGATTTGAATTTGAAATTTTGGAAAATCTTAATTCTTTTGGAAAAAATAATAATGATTAAATATTTATTTAAAAATGAAGACTAATAGAAATTTGTTTTGAGTAATCTAATCATTTTTAGAGTGAGTCTGAATATTCTTTAGTGTCAGGGAGAAAGTCAAAATGTTGTTTGGAAATCAGGGAAAAACAAAATTAAATTCGTGTGGCAACCCTGATACACATAATCTCGTTTTTGAAAAAACTTCTCGTCAAAGAAAATCTGCTAATGGGAAGAACGTAACTTAATTTTTTCATAATATCCCTTCAATGCTATTTAACAAATTTTGTGATTAAATAATAAAAATGGTTGGGTCATCAGGACTTGGAGTGGCAACACTCAAACGAGAGAATTGTTACACGTTGCATTGAAACATGTTGCCGGTATATTTAGTGCGCAATATGTATATAAGGGATGATGCAAATGTGACACGTGCGTGATACTTGTGTTGTTCATGACGTCTAGTATCCTGGGAATGACGTTTACTGCAACCACGCCTATCTGGGCCCATCGAAACTGACCATCCTGGGCAGGCATTGAGCTCCTTAATTACCAAGGATACGGTAACGACCCCAACAATTATACCCTTCATCGGCTACTCCCACTAACTTAATCCAATCTAACGACACATTTATCAAAACAATAAATCACGTCACAACATAAATAATAAATTACTCGCTATTCTGCATCAACAAAGTTCAACAATTTTCTATCAAATTTTTAATGTTTCTCGATCACTGCAATAAACAAGTCGATAAAGAAAAGTCAAAGAACTAAAATGTGCATTATTAATTCCTTCAAGCGAATAAAATATTTCGAGGGATATAGAAATTTGTCTTGATGAAAAGGCGGGCTTACTTTTTTTGCGGTGTTTCACGAGAACTTATGTGAGAGATCAAAGTGTCTTATCGCCTTAATCTTGACTATTTTTCACCACACGCCATACCTTCTAAGGTTCTTAGAAAAAATTTCCATCGAATTTAATACATTAATTTTTTATTAATTTTCATTTTTGAAAAAAAAGCATACAAAGTTATTACTTTTTCTGCTCGGTTTCAATTTTCCAGAATTAGAGTTTTGCTTGACCAAAACTGTTATTCCTACTAAAACAAAAAAATTTTTTAAATCTTTTTCTACTAAATGTTATTCTAACTAAAACAAAAAAATTTTAAAAATCTTTTTCTACTAAATCCCCATACGGTGATTGCAGACTTCGCACTCGATAATTAATTTTAAAAAAGTAGCTTTCAAACTAAAAAAAGTATTAAAATAGTAGCTATCGAAAAATTAAACTTGACGACCAAAAAAACTCGTTTTAGACACTTCACAAAACTGACAAAAATTACATTCTACATTTTATTTTCCTGACTTTTTCCTAATTTTTATAAAAAATACTTACTTCTTTCTTATCCTGATAATAAATTGAATTCCTGCAACAAATTTTATTATTCATGAAAGCATTTAAATATTTATAAAAATAATTTAACTCTTGCGAAGAATTTTATAAAATTTATTAAATAATTGAATCCCTGAGAGATTTTTATTATTATTTAAGAAATAATTCAATTTTACAAAGAATTCTACTAAAATTTTTGAGAATAATTGAATGTCTTTGTGGCAATTCATTAAATTTTTGTGAAAATAATTGAATTCCTAAAAAGCATTTTATTATTTATGAAAATAATTGGATTCTTGAGAACGATTTTATTAGAATTTTTTAAAATAATTGCATTTCCAAGAAGAAATTTATTACTTTTAAAAATAATTGAATTCTTGTGATGAATACGGTTAGTTATTTATGAAAATAATTGAATTTTGCACAGAATTTTATTAAAATTCCTCAAAATAATTGACTTTTCTGGAATCATTTTGTTATTTATCGACATAATTGAATTTTTTCGAAGAATTATTTATGTAAATAATTGAATTCTTGCATAAAATTTTATTAAATTCTGAAAAATTATCTGAATTATTTCAAAAAAACTTAATTAAAATTGTATTTAAAATAATTCATTTCTTTCGAACAATTTTCTAAAAATATTTAAAAATAATTGAATTCCTGTGAAAAATTCTAATGTTTTTGTAAATAATTGAACTCTTCCAAAGAATTTTAAAAAAACATTTTTTTCAAAGAATTTTATTTTAAAAAATAATTGAATTTTTGAGAAGAATTTTATTATTTATGAAAAGAATTGAATTATTGTGAAAAATTTTATTAAAATATTTCAAAATAATTTAATTTCTGTGAGAAATTTTGTTATGTTTGAAAATAATTTAATTCTTTATAACAATTTTATAAACATTGTTTTAAATAATTTATTTTTTCGAAATATAATAAATATTTTATTTTAAATAATTGAATTCTTGTGGAAAATTTTATTTGTGAAAATAATTGAATTTTTCGCTTAATTGATTTGAAATAGTATTAAAAATAATTGAAATTCTTCGATAAGTTTTATTATTTTTGAAAATAATTAAATTCTTGCTTAGAATCTTATCAAAAATTTTTTTAAAAAATTTAATTTCCATGAAAAGTGTTATTATTAGTGAAAGTAATGGATTCCCGTGTGGAAATTGAATCTGGGCGCTAGCCGTGCTATGTCTGGGAAGCCCCACTTCAAGCTAGCCCCTGACCAGAAACTTAACTTTGTCATGGCTAACTCGGGCTATTTCCACACGGGATTATTCTGAAGAATTGTATAAAAATTTTGTTAAATAATTGATTTCTTCGAAATTTTTTTCGAAAATGCTATTTTAATTAATTGAATTCCTGTGGAAATTTTATTTTTCAGGGGAATAATTGAATTTTCAAAGTTTTTTGAAAATAATTGAATCGTTTTAAAGAATTTGATTATAATTTTTGACAAATAGTTTTTTGATTTCTAGTAGTAGCGAATTTAAAGTAGTGGAAATTCTCAAAAAATTAGAAATAGTAGCTTTTAGTGGCTGAAATCTAAAAAAAAGTACCAAAATAGTAGCATAACATAAAAAAGTAGTAAGTAGTAGGTTTTATTAGTTGAGTGCAAAGCTTGAGATTGATATATTAGAAAGCAATAAATAAAATATACGAAATGCAATGTTGCTGCAAGGTTACATGCTCTCTGAATAGTTATATTTAAATTGTTAAACCTTAACTAAAAATAACCTTAAAAAAATACAATAAATTCCATTATATTACCAAAATAAAAAAAAATAAATAAAAAATTACGTTAAGTTTGAAACATATTGTACTCCTGAAAGATGTCGAACAATGAATAAAAAAGAGGAAAATTCAACGACAATGCATTTCTCCGAGAGTCACTTGCAAATTTGTCCACATTGTCGTGCAACAGAAAGGAAAACGGAAGTTGTTCACTTGGTAGAAGTGACGATACGATATGTTGTATATAGTAATTCGACAAAAGGAGAAATATGAGATGAATATGAGATGGAGATGTAAAAGCGTGGAATTGGGAGAGAAGTATATACATATACCTATATATATATATAGATTCGAGACTTTAAACGAAAAATCCCGCATTGTCCGTGCCGAGTGGCTATCTCGTTCGACATTTCCGTATATAGCAAAGTGAAACATACCAACTCGGTCAGAGATATATTCTCAGAGACTCCGCGCGCGTTACAAAATATCCTCTGACAGTTCGACACCGTTGACCGAAATCAGAAACAAACATTTGCTCAAAAGTTGGAGTAAACTCAGTGTATGTATATATATAATAGTGGGGAAAGTCAAGCGGAATGAGGGAAATGGAAAATGCCATTGTTCTCATGCCAAACGATAAATGAACTTACATACTAGCGTTTATAAACGCATATATATAACAACAATAATCAAGACAAACTTTTAATTTAGTTATACAGTGCGCCAACTCCCCGTTTTTTAATTACTTAATTTTATTTACCTATTAGTTCTATTTTGATTTCAATTTTAAAAATGTGTGTCCTGACGCAGTGAAAGGGACCTTACGTCAAAAAAAATTAATTTTAGTTATTGATGACATTCTATCTACATTCTTTCAATCGATAAAATGGCACTAATAACACAAAATTAATTTTTTGAGCGTAAGGTCCCTTTCACCGTGTCAGGGCACATATTGTTTTTAATACATAATATTTGTCACTTCATTGTAAAAATAGACTTTTCTTTTTGGAAAACAGATCTGATTTTGTTGTTATGTTTGCCCTCTGACCTATTACTTCCAGGCTTGACACAGGTCAAGGCAATCAGGAAATTCAGGGAAAAGTGAGGGATTTTTATTAAAAGAACTGGAAAAATTCAATTTTTGAATTCATAAGAAAAATTCTGAATTTTTGTGTCTTTTTTGTAAATTGAATTAGAAATTTTAAAGAACTTAGGGTTTAAAAATTTTAATAATTCAAATTCTTCTTAAATTTAAATGGGAAGAAAGGTAATTCTTTTCGAGTCAAATAAAATAAAAGTCTTCTTAAATTTGTTAAATTTTTTAATGTATACACTTAATTAATTATTAAAAATAATGGATTTATAGATGAATTTCAGTTAAAAAGAATTAAAAATTTAAATTTTGGAGAAGTTACAAATGATTACAGAAATTCAATTATGTTCAAAAAATTCGAGTCAAAATTTCAATTATTTTTATAAATTATAAAATTCTTCTCCGAAATGTAATTATTTTCAAAAACTTGAATAAAATACTTCGAAAAATTTCAATTATTTTCAAAAATGTTCCTCACTTCAGTGATTTTTTATATCTACTATTTTAATAAAATTTTACAAAAGAATTCAATTATTTTAAAAAAATTTTAATAAAAATTACACAGGAATTCAATTACTTACAAATTATTTATAAATTTCTTCGCACCATTTAAATTATTGTTTATTTTTTAATAAAGTTTATTAAAAAAATTCAATTATATTCAGAAAATTCAAGAAAAAAGTTCTGAGAAATTCAATTATTTTGAAAAATTTAAATAAAATTCTTTAAAAAATTCTATTATTTAAAAAAATCTTGACAACATTATTTACAAGATTTAGTTAATAAAATTGCAATTTTAATAAAATTTTCCAATATAATTCAATTACTTTCAATACAATTCTTCTTGAGAATTCAATTATTTTCACAAATAGCAAATTTTTTTTATGAGTTCAATTAAATTAAAATTTAAAAATATTTGAATAAAATTCTTCGCAAAGAAATCAATAATTTTCATAAATAATAAAATCTTAGGAATTCAATTATTTAAGAAATTTTAAGAAAATTCTTCCCAAGAATTCAATTCTTTTCAAAAATACAATGATTTAAAAAAAAATTAATAACATTCTTCGTCAGATTTCAATTATTTTCTATTTTTTAATGAAATTTTTCGATGGAATTTAATTATTTTCAAAAAGTTTTAATGCATTCTGAGAAATTCAATTATTTAACCCCTTGGCAGTCGATGACGTGTATACACGTCATGGTGCAGGTGGGCTCAAACTGTCGATGACGTGTATAGACGCAAGCAGATTTTTGTCTACAAAAACACACAGATTTGTCCACAAATTGATACTCGGGGGTTTTCGGGGTCGCTGATTACGAATCCG